TAATCAATAAATCTGAAAACAACTTTAACCTCCTGTCATGCCTCAGCAGAAGATCAAATGTGATCGAACAGAACCTCAATCCATTTAAAATAATCTGATTTAACACCATACTGTAGTCATGGGGAGTTCTGTAACCTTATCACATGTCTTAGGTTTAGCCCGCCACGGCTCATTTTAAATGTGGTTCAGTCTCACTGACCGAGCAGTGCCAGACTTCATTTATAATCCTGCCTTTTTTAGACAACAACAAACATTTTGCATCAAGAACTTCCAATACAGAATATTTCGCTCAGTTATCCAGAATTTCAAACCGTGCCAAACTTCATTCAAAACTGACCCAATTTAAATTCCTTCTTCTGTCTGTGAAGTCCATTCACTTGATTTCACTGAATATATGAATAAATATGATTTACAATGATGTCACAGGTTGGTTTGACCCCGCAGGTTACCTGGTGTGAAATGAGCGTGCGCAGTGAGGAAGCACAGGAGGCGGGGCTCCTCAGTACATACAGATTTCTTTATTGAATGAAGCAAAATAATGAGAGAACTTCCCCTTTATGAAAATAAATAAATCATTTTCTTTGTCTCGCAGAACGCCACCAGCGGCCGACCGTTTTGCCGCTCGCCGGATGCCAAACACACTAAAAACACGAGACGCTTGCGATCCATTTTGGCACGGGATGAACGCTCGCCGGAGAGGAGGGGGCGGGGCCAGAAGCGAGGGGTTAAATTAATCATCAGCAGTGCTTTTGGTTGAGTTCGTGTCGCAGACTCCTTCCCCAAAGATCCCTTCAAAGTAAAAGATAATAAAATCTCAGTGTTAAGCGCTGCCTCTAATTACACACGGACACATCTGCCGACAGGTAAAAACCACCACCTGCTGTCTGCAGTGATTCTCCCAGCTAGCCCGCCCCAGCAGGGGGCGCAAATGATGCTAACGAGCATTTTAAAAAGCTAAAAAAAATAAACAAAAAACATTTCTGCAACTCATCAGGATTTCTGTGCGAAGAAGTAGAAGACTGGATCCTGATGATGATGAGGATGAAGAGTTCTGTCATCACAGCTGGAGAGTGACCGTGTGGACAGTGGGGTCAAAGGTCATTCAGGCTCAACTCCACATGAACCTTTTCTAAAGCAAATCTGCATCATTCCTTCATGTTGCCATAAGCAGGTTGCTGTTGCCTGTAAAGTTGCAGAAATAGAAACTTCTGCAGCAACTGTTTGACGAAGGACAGCTATCGAGTCGTGACATTGCCTTGTCACACCAAACATCTCTGCAACAAAATACCCTGAACAACCCCACCAGACTTCATTCAGAATTTACCCAATTTAAGACGAATGTTACTGAGAAGCAATCTGAGCCGCTCGTCAGACTGCACCAGACTTCATTCAAAATTCTCCCAATTTTAGATGTGCTTTCTTGTGTTGTTTGAATTCCCAGTGTTCCCTGCTGTTGGACTTCATTAGAATAAATAAATCACACAGCTGTAAACTACCAGTGTTCTTCGGCCACACTGTTCACACACTAAAACAGAACAACAGCACCAGACTCTAATGAGAATTCATCTAATTTAAGACTGCATATTATTATTCATGCTGTAGTTCAGTTTATTTTTCTCTCAGGTCCAACTCTGTAACTCAAACTCTGCGTATGAATCTGACGCCTTCCACACTTCAAACTTTAGTTTAAGAGCAGATTTTACTCTTTTAGACGTTCACAAACAAATATGTCAGAGTTAAACCTCTGAAACGCTCTGAACTCTCATCAGTGTTACGATGCTTCCTTCGCCTTCCTGTTTCAGACCCTCCTGCTTTAAATACGTTTAAAAAGGTTTAAAAAAGTCTGAAGCTTTATCCCAGGTGAGAAGAGTACGCTGAAGCTGAGCAGCCTTGCTGGTTGGGTGAAGCTGAGCCTGAAGGCGACCTCAACCCTGACACTGCCAGCAAAGCGAGGTGGGCTAATTTAATACCAACATGTTAATAACAAGCTCCAGTTTTCCTCTC